ACTAAATATTGTACTAAATATAACGGATAAATATAGAAACCTGTTATTAAATACTTATCTGGAACTATGACAATAAACCTTTATGTATAAATATTTTCCAGAAATAAGTTCTAAAATGTACAACATATTGTATACTGCGGTACGGGTGGATATAGAATTTGGTACAAGGTTTTTTTCTATGAAAAACAATGCTTTTCACAATTTTGTTTGACATTTGTACTTAAAGTACTAAATATTGTATATAAATATTTTTTTTGACAAATTGTGCTTGATATAAATAAATAGGAAAGGATAAAGACAGATATCCAACTTTTAGTATTTATCTTTGACTATGGCAAATAAAGTGTTTTTTGAAAATATTCCTTGAAAATTTTTAATAAAAATTTCTGACTGTTACATGAAACCTGTTATTAAATACTTATCTGGAACTATGACAATAAACCTTTATGTATAAATATTTTCCAGAAATAAGTTCTAAAATGTACAGCATATTGTATACTGCGGTACGGGTGGATATAGAATTTGGTACAAGGTTTTTTCTATGAAAAACAATGCTTTTCACAATTTTGTTTGACATTTGTACTTAAAGTACTAAATATTGTATACGCCAAAACGAGTAGAGGTAGACTCCTGAAATTGTGTATGTATATTTAGACATAACAAATTAAAAAAATATATAAATATTTGTTTTTTTTTTTTTGACAAATTGTGCTTGATATAAATAAATAGGAAAGGATAAAGACAGATATCCAAATTTTAGTATTTATCTTTGACTATGGCAAATAAAGTGTTTTTTGAATATATTCCTTGAAAATTTTTAATAAAAATTTCTGACTGTTACATGAAATATAGTTTCCAATCCCACATCGATCTATACTACAGCGAATAATTATGTGAAGTAGTTTAAACTTTCGATGTAGTGAGTAAAAGAGCCGCTGGACACAACAATTACTAAATTATAGGCACTTGCAAATGTTTCTACAATGTCTACCATAACAGTTCTGATATTTATTTCCAATTATGTTTCCAACCACACTGGAAATATATAATACTGCAGCGACTTCCGATGTAATGAATAATGGACCTAATGTCGAGGATATACAAAAATATAGAAAAATTTTTCCAATCAAGATTTTGTAACACGTTTCGCACCAGAAGTACTAAATTTCTGCAATTTTTATATTACAAATTCGTACCATTTTTTTATATTTCACCATTTGTATTAAATTACCGAAAGAAGTTTATAAAACGTATTATGGTACACTTTCAGGAAATATAAATACAAGTTCATAAAAAATTAAGATATAGGACCTATCATTATTCGAAATGTTTCAAATTTATATTTAATCCGAAAGTATATTATGTAGCTAAATTAATGTTTATTTATTTTAATAATAAAAAGATCCGCGGGGATATGCTAGTAAATAAATAAAATAATTATGTAGGTCGGTCACCAACATACCTTAAATGCTATGTAAGCAAAATAAGTAATGTATTAACGAAATTTAAAACCATTGCAAAAGTTAATGGTCAAATGGCCAATGAACTTAAATAAAGAAAATGGTATGTAACAATAAAATAATCAAAATGAGTTATATATTAATGGTGTATTAGCAGTTTAGCAACGTGTGGTGTATATGTATATGAAACCCCCCGGTGGATAGGCAAAGTCTTTTAGAGTGTTGGTGTGCTAAACAATTACCACAGTATTTTAACCTCTCAACTGCTTTCTGTCGATATTTCGCGCTTACAGATAAAAATGTGCTGAATCTTCGCAGTGGATGGATTTTATGGTATATACGGCATTTATATGGACTTGATTTGTTGCTACTCCGGGAGGTCTCATCTGTATTTATGGATAGATCCTTCTATCATTAACTTTTTTTGGTGACCCGGCGTGATACTGGCGCTAACTAATCCGAAGCATTTTTTGGTGACGTTATATACGAAGTGTGAGGACGTAACGCACGCATACCAATTTCAAGAAAACAGGAGGAAATTGCCTGTAACTAAAATTTTTTGGTGACGTTATACACAATGTGTGAGGACGTAACGTAACGCATGCGTACCAAGAAAACAGGAGAAAATTGCCTTACCACAATGCCGTTACTCACTACTACATCAACAAACAACAATGGCAAGCCTTCAAGACCTTATTTCTCAGCAGGAAGAAAGAGGCAGTAATTTCGAAAAAAATCGCCGCTCATATAAAGAAAGCTCCGCTTGAAAGAAGAGCGGAAGAATTCTACAGGGGCAAGTATGATGAACAAAGGCTGTTATGGCAGGGTTTGGATAAGGCAGAAAACAGAATCCGTGATGATCTATCTTTGTCAGAGGATGACCCGTTCGTTGCTCGGAAACTATATACCTCAACAATAGAATATAAATAAATGGGAAATGAAGAAACTGATGTCTACCAAAAGCAAGCCAAATCCCACGACGAAATACTGCCGCAGATTGAAGATCCATCGAAAATAGGATTTAATCAAGAAATCTACGATATGCTGGAAGATTCAGTACAAGACAACTTAATAAAACTAGCTGTCCTGAAAGACAAATGCATCGCAACCATGGCCATTGCACCTCAACTGGGGTGTGACATTATAGCACACAGTGCACTTTCGCTACCGAAGGCAACAGTTGAGGGACTGTTACCTTCAACGGGGATTGTTTGAAGTGGCGGCAGTTCTATGAATTTTTCTTGGAGATGGTAGACAAACAGTCTCCCCCAAGTATTAAAAAAATGAGGTATCTCAAAACCAATTTATTTGGCGAGGCTGCCAAACTAATCAGTCATTTATCCTTGACAGAGGATAATTACTGAACGTTATAACAATAAAGGGGTTCTTTTTTCCACTCTGGTAGACCGGATATTGAGTCAACCAAATGGAATTTCATCAACGGCTTCCATCAAGGCTCTCCATGACACTACAGGGGACTATATGCTAGCCCTCAACAAATATGAATGGAACCGGTAGAGGTACATATCTGAATCTTGGTATGTAGTTTAAGCTATTACAAATATAATGATATGCAAAATATTTTTTGAAAATTAGTAAAAAAATTTTTGAAATTATTACTAAAAAACATGGAAATTAGTACTAAACGGCACCAAAAACACAAAATATTGCACTGTGTGCAAAAAAGTGTAATACTGAAATTCGGCATGTAGCTTTCTATATTTTAAAAAGTGGAATACGCCAAAAACTTAGTAAATTGTACCTAACGGTACAAAAAAGTACTAAATATTGTGTACGGTAGAACGGATAAATATAGAAACCTGTTATTAAATACTTATCTGGAACTATGACAATAAACCTTTATGTATAAATATTTTCCAGAAATAAGTTCTAAAATGTACAACATATTGTATACTGCGGAACGGGTGGATATAGAATTTGGTACAAGGTTTTTTCTATGAAAAACAATGCTTTTCACAATTTTGTTTGACATTTGTACTTAAAGTACTAAATATTGTATATAAATATTTTTTTTTTTTTTGACAAATTGTGCTTGATATAAATAAATAGGAAAGGATAAAGACAGATATCCAACTTTTAGTATTTATCTTTGACTATGGCAAATAAAGTGTTTTTTGAAAATGTTGGGTCGCCGCATAAAACATCGAATTATGCATTAATGTAATTTTATTAGTTTTGTATTTTATTATTTTTTGTTTCATTTGCATTTTTTTGATTGTATTTCAATTTAGTTATTTCGCAATTAATTTCACTTAATTTTACATTTAAATGCATTTATTTTGTACTATTGACCCACTGTGATCTTGTTACATTTTATTTCTAGTTTTTACTCTTCTAATCATTTGTGTTGTAACCCGTTAGTGTTGTTTGAATTGTTGTTTCTCGCTTCTCTTCTTGTAATAGTAATATATTGTTCTCGTTACAATATATTTTGTTTTCTTGCACTTACATTGGTTATGCATGCACATATAGGAACAATGAAATCGAAACATTGGAAGTGAGAACCAATAATAATAACAACAACAGTCCCCCTTATGTATTGTAACAGATAGGCTTGAGATGAATATGTTTTAAATAAAGAATTATTGTTAACGTTGAAACCGACAGAGCAACGTCGTCTTTTTTTTGTTTGCATTGACACACGGCCGCACAGTGCTTTGCACCTACAAATAAATTATCTGTCCCGTCGAACATTTCAGCGGCATATAGATAACAATTATAATTTAGTTAATTGCTCTATATTGCTGCCGGTGAGGAAAAAGCTCCTTATCGTACATTTTGGCGCCCAACGTGGGGCAATAATTTATATTGCGCGGTCCTGATATATCCAAGACTTTGTCGATGTTTCGAAAAATAAAAACTTTCCATATTACAACTTACATCAAGTGTATGCTCATTGCGAAGTGCAACTATCGCCTACAGAATTGACTTTAAAGGGCTCCTTTCCTTGCGAGCAAATTAAAATAGTTTTTACAAATATTTGGTGGGTCCAAAGGACAATTGTTTTGAGAAATTATAAACTGTGTGTTGTGGCATAAAATAAAGTATTCTGAAACGTTTTGTGGTTCAATTATTAATAAATAATAATCAAATGCCTTCATCAGTGATTTTTCAAATAAGAAACGGAATAAAATCACATATTGGTCCAAAATTTTCTGGCTCATCAATACCAGAATTTGTGTAATAAAAATAATATTACAGACTATTTTCGGCTCAGCAGAGACTTACTTAAAAGGACATAACATATATATAAAAACTGTAGTTCGATTTTCCGTTGATTGTTGTACATAATAAATACATTAATTACTCTTGATTGTTCTGGTAAATAGTGGTGAATATTGGACTTTGTCGTGCCCGCTATTCAAATACATACAATACATAGATAGAACTTTAAACGAATTTTCGGACATTTTGTGGCGTCTTTTACAGTGGTTAATAAAATTGTTTCACTGATTTTAATAAAAAATTAGTGGACATTTTGGCTTTGAGAATTGTTTCAAAATAGTTTGGAGTTCTAAAATGAGCCTCGAGGAAGCTAAACAGCAACGGGCTAACACAAAGAAAAGTATTACCCGAATCAAAAATCAAGTCGAAGCTAATGCAAGGGGTGAAGGAAGGACGCTGTCGTCGGCGGAACTGAAATGTCGTTTAGGGATTTTGGAGTCGTATTTCAAACAAATCTTGTCGTTCCAAACCCAAATTGAGAAATTTGATCCAGATGACAATGGTCGACTTGAAATCGAGGATTTATATATTGCATGTAAAATGAGTATCCAGTCCCAGCTTAGCGAAGATGTCCACAACACATCGCTTTCTGACTCAACTATTTGTTTCCAAGCACCCAGCCACAAGTTGCCTGCACTCAAATTGCCCACTTTCGGTGGTAAGTACAGTGAGTACAAAAATTTTATAACGTCGTTCAACCAAGTGATCGATCGTGAGGTTGGCCTTTCTAATATCGAAAAGTTCAATCATTTGCTTAACTGCCTCCATGGACAGGCACTGGAAACTGTAAAGGCTTTCCAGATTACAAATGAAAACTACCCAAAGGCTCTAGAAAGGCTAAAGATGCGTTATGACAATAGTTCGCTGATATTCATGGAAAATATAACCAACCTTTTTGAACTTCCTAGCATGTCAAAGCATAATTGCACACAACTTCGTAGTCTTGTGGACAATGTTTCTGCTCTATACAGTTCTTTGCTCTCTCTGGGCTCGCATAGTGACATCGCACAGTCAATGCTTATCTACATAGTGATGGAGAAAGTGGACGATGACACAAAAAGAAAATGGAAAGATTCTTTAGACTTCACCAAACTGTCGTCATGGAACGATTGCTTAAAGGTTGTGGAAAGACATTGCCAATTTCTGGAATCGGTTGAAACCAGTCATACTCATGTTGCCTCTCGTAAGTCCAATCAACAGTCTGGTAAGTTCAATGATAAAGCTTCTAGATCCGGCTCCAGTTTTTCTGTTTCAAAACGTGTTTGCCAGCTTTGCTCAAAATCTGACCACACAATTAGTCGCTGTACTCGCTTTAAGGAAATGAATGTCAGTGAACGTTTTGAAAATGTCAAACGACTTGGCCTTTGTCTAAATTGTTTATCGAAAGGGCATCATGTTAATAGCTGTTCATCCTCATTTAAGTGTAAAACTTGTTCTCGTTCGCATCACAGTATGCTTCATCGGTGTCAGTCTGCACCAAGGCCCTCGTCCCCTGCTTCTGTCACCTTGAATGAAAATCCCGCCTCGGTCCACACCCATGTGGAAAAAGCTTCGCCGGAACAGATATTGCTTGCTACTGCTATTATTCTTGTTCGTGATTCTACTGGTTGCTACCAATTGGGACGAGCTTTGTTGGATTCTTGCTCCCAATTGAATTTCATGACTGATGACTTTTCTAGAAAGCTACATTTGCCTCGAGCAAAACATACTACTGTTGTTGCTGGTATTGGAAACTCTCATAGTAATAGCAGATATAGGACGTCAACAAATGTCAAATCTCGATTAACTGATTTCGAAGCTACACTCTCGTTTTGTGTTACGCCTCATATCTCATATCAACCCGATTCTGAATTAGATGTCTCGTCGTGGAATTTGCCTCCAAATACCCAGCTTGCAGATGAAGATTTTTTTAAATCCAAACGTATAGATTTGCTCATTGGTACAGATACATTTTTTGATATCTTGTCAGTTGGCCAAATTAAACTTGGACCTAATTTGCCCAAATTACATAAAACGCTATTCGGTTGGATTGTAGTTGGTCGTTATCAATCCAAGAGTACTAGTTCCTCTTGTATGTTCACAATAGAAGAAGAGGTCGATTTGAAATTACAGCGCTTATGGGAAATCGAAGAAATCTCACTTGACTCAAATGGTTTGACTCCTGAACAAATTGATTGTGAATCATTTTTCAACCATAATGTCCATCGCGAATCTACCGGGAGGATTATTGTGAGATTGCCCTTTAAGGAACCTGCTGAGACATTAGGTCTCTCTCGGGACAGGACTGTTAAGAGATTTACCTCCCAAGAAAGGCGCTTTGCTCGTGACTACAATCTTAAATCTCAATACATTGCGTTTATGAAGGAATATGAAGATTGTGGACATATGAGTTTAGTTCGAAATCCTCGGTTAGATGTACCTCATTTTTTCATCCCTCACCATTGTGTCTTCAAGCTCAACAGTACGTCAACTAAACTTCGTGTGGTATTCGATGCCTCGTGTCCAACATCGTCTCAGAAATCGTTAAATGACATTATCATGGTTGGTCCAACAATTCAGGATGAGTTGTACAAAATTCTACTGCGTTTTCGTCTTCATCGCTACGCTCTATCAGCGGATATAATAAAAATGTATCGTCAGATCCTTATAGATCCTCGTGATAGAAGATTTCAATACATTTTATGGAGAAATTCGGAAGAAGAGGAAATTCGTACATATGAGCTTAATACCGTTACTTATGGAATGTCGTCTGCCCCTTATCTCGCCATTCGAAGTCTTCACTATCTCGCTGACCAATATTCAGAGCAATTGCCACTTGGCTCAAAAACTATCAAATCGTCATTTTATGTGGACGATTTTCTGGGTGGTGCGGACTCAGTCGAAGAATTGGCTCAAATTAAGCGAGAAGTTACTGAAGTTCTAAATCATGGCTGTTTCGAATTGGATAAGTGGCACTCAAACCATAAAGATTTCCAGCATGACAACACAACAAAGGATTTGAATATTGACGACACTGCTATAACTAACGCTCTTGGTATCACTTGGGATCAACATAAGGACGTGTTCCTATTTTCTTTCTCGCCTAAGACTGAAATTTCGGAGAAAATCACGAAACGCACCATTTTGTCACTTTCATCGTCTCTTTATGATCCCCTTGGACTCCTGGCTCCTATTATTATCAAATCGAAAATCATCATGCAGGAGTTATGGATTCTGAAAATTGGTTGGGACGAATCTATTCCCCAAGAACTGCACTCAGCATGGAATAATTTTGTTTCCGATCTCAAAACTCTATCTTCGCTTCACATTCCTCGCTATGTTCTCGCTGCAAATTCTCAACAAGTTCAACTACACGGGTTTTCCGATTCATCTATTCGTGCGTTTTTACCTTCGCGTAAAATCTTGTTCTGGAAATGTTTCAGTACGCCTATTTACTGCTAAATCTCGTGTTGCACCTACAAAAAGACAATCACTACCAAAGCTCGAATTGTGTGGAGCCCAACTTTTGGCAAGACTATACTCCAAGATAAAAAACCTGACCTCGCCCCCAAACCTCCAAGTGTTTCTTTGGTCTGATTCTCAATTGGTTCTTCATTGGCTCAAGCAGCACTCCTCTACGTTATCAGTATTTGTTGGCAACAGAGTGTCAGAAATTCAGGATCTCACTAATGGCTGCGTTTGGCGTCATGTCCCAACACATTTCAATCCAGCTGATATTGTCTCTCGTGGTTCTTCTGTGAAAGAACTGTCCTCATCAATCTGGTTCAACGGTCCAGAATTCCTTGCACTCGATCCCATTCAATGGCCGCATAACAAAATGCATAAATTATCGGATGAAAGTCAACTAGTAATTGACAAGGAAAAACGCAAAACTGTCCTTTGCCTAAAGGTCAAATCTAACTACATCTTGGATTGCATCGAAAAATATAGCTCGTATTTGAAAATAATACGTGTTGTCGCCTGGGTGCTTCGTTTCGCACAAAAACGGAAAACTAATATTTTCCATTCTGAATATTTGCAGCCCCAAGAACTGGAGAATGCGTTGATTCGTATAGTTGTCAACATACAGAAGCAACATTATCAAGATGATATACATCGAGTTCAGAAGAAAAAAGATCCTCAAGGCACTCTGAGGTGTCTCAATCCCTTCATCGACTCATCATCTGGTGTTAATTTGCTGAAGGTTGGAGGTCGTCTAGAATACGCAGCTATTTCTGAAGGCTAAAAGCACCCAATTATATTGCCCAGCAAAAATCATTTCGTTACGTGTTTTGTACGCCATTTACATGTTCAAAATTAACACGCTGGACCTAAGGCTCTAATGGCTCTAATACGTGAAAAATTCTGGATCATCAATTCAAGAAACCTGTGTCGTCGTATCGTGAACTCGTGCCCACAATGTATACGATATCGCCCGAAATTGTTGACGCAGATGATGGGTAATTTACCGGTAGAACGACTCAATCCCTCCAGGCCCTTCGCCAGGTGTGCCGTCGACTTTTGTGGTCCTGTCACACTTACCTAAGGATCAGAGGAAAGGTTCCGTATAAAACGTACATTGCCGTATTCATTTGTCTCGCTACTAAGGCAGTCCACATTGAAGTTGTTTCGGATCTATCAACTGATGCCTTCATTGCAGCTCTCAAAAGGTTGATTGGACGCAGAGGTTTGCCCACAGATATATTCTGTGATAATGCTACAAATTTCGTTGGAGCAAATTCTAAGTTGTCGCAACTAAAGTCGTTCCTTTTCGATTGTAAAAACTCAAATGCTATTATAAACTATTGCACTAATGAATTCATAAACTTTCGTTTTATCCCCCCTAGGGCACCACATTTTGGCGGATTGTGGGAGGCGGCCGTCAAGTCAGCCAAAGGTCATCTGACGAAGGCTCTGTCAAACACTAGACTCACCTATGAGGAATTGTCTACCGCTATGGTTGAAATAGAAGCAATTTTAAACTCGAGGCCGATTTCACCTCTATCTTGCGATCCTAGCGACTCTGAGGCACTTACGCCAGGCCATTTTTTAATCGGCGCTCCCATGCGAAGTTTGCCAGAACGTGATGTCCTAACGAAAGAAGTCAACAATCTTGAATACTGGGCACGAATATGCGCTATCAAGCAAAGTTTTTGGAATAAGTGGTCCCACGACTACATTAATGAACTTCAAACCCGCAACAAATGGATTGCATCCAACCCTAATGTCAAACCTGGCTCTCTCGTTATTGTTCGAGAAGACAATCTACCCCCACAACAATGGCTCATGGGCAGAATCATCGATATTATACGTGGAAGAGATGCCCGTGTCCGCGTCGTAGACATAAAAACTACAAGGGGAGTAATGCGTCGCCCTATTCACAGATTAGCTCTACTACCTTCTTGAAAGTGTCCTTTCAATGGGGCCGGTATGTTGGGTCGCCGCATAAAACATCGAATTATGCATTAATGTAATTTTATTAGTTTTGTATTTTATTATTTTTTGTTTCATTTGCATTTTTTTGATTGTATTTCAATTTAGTTATTTCGCAATTAATTTCACTTAATTTTACATTTAAATGCATTTATTTTGTACTATTGACCCACTGTGATCTTGTTACATTTTATTTCTAGTTTTTACTCTTCTAATCATTTGTGTTGTAACCCGTTAGTGTTGTTTGAATTGTTGTTTCTCGCTTCTCTTCTTGTAATAGTAATATATTGTTCTCGTTACAATATATTTTGTTTTCTTGCACTTACATTGGTTATGCATGCACATATAGGAACAATGAAATCGAAACATTGGAAGTGAGAACCAATAATAATAACAACAACAGTCCCCCTTATGTATTGTAACAGATAGGCTTGAGATGAATATGTTTTAAATAAAGAATTATTGTTAACGTTGAAACCGACAGAGCAACGTCGTCTTTTTTTGTTTGCATTGACACACGGCCGCACAGTGCTTTGCACCTACAAATAAATTATCTGTCCCGTCGAACATTTCAACGGCATATAGATAACAATTATAATTTAGTTAATTGCTCTATATTGCTGCCGGTGAGGAAAAAGCTCCTTATCGTACAGAAAATATTCCTTGAAAATTTTTAAAAAAAAATTTCTGACTGTTACATGAAACCTGTTATTAAATACTTATCTGGAACTATGACAATAAACCTTTATGTATAAATATTTTCCAGAAATAAGTTCTAAAATGTACAACATATTGTATACTGCGGTACGGGTGGATATAGAATTTGGTACAAGGTTTTTTCTATGAAAAACAATGCTTTTCACAATTTTGTTTGACATTTGTACTTAAAGTACTAAATATTGTATACGCCAAAACGAGTAGAGGTAGACTCCTGAAATTGTGTATGCATATTTAGACATAACAAATTAAAAAAATATATAAATATTTGTTTTTTTTTTTTGACAAATTGTGCTTGATATAAATAAATAGGAAAGGATATAGACAGATATCCAAATTTTAGTATTTATCTTTGACTATGGCAAATAAAGTGTTTTTTGAATATATTCCTTGAAAATTTTTAATAAAAATTTCTGACTGTTACATGAAATATAGTTTCCAATCCCACATCGATCTATACTACAGCGAATAATTATGTGAACTTTAGTTTAAACTTTCGATGTAGTGAGTAAAAGAGCCGCTGGACACAACAATTACTAAATTATAGGCACTTGCAAATGTTTCTACAATGTCTACCATAACAGTTCTGATATTTATTTCCAATTATGTTTCCAACCACACTGGAAATATATAATACTGCAGCGACTTCCGATGTAATGAATAATGGACCTAATGTCGAGGATATACAAAAATATAGAAAAATTTTTCCAATCAAGATTTTGTAACACGTTTCGCACCAGAAGTACTAAATTTCTGCAATTTTTATATTACAAATTCGTACCATTTTTTTATATTTTACCATTTGTATTAAATTACCGAAAGAAGTTTATAAAACGTATTATGGTACACTTTCAGGAAATATAAATACAAGTTCATAAAAAATTAAGATATAGGACCTATCATTATTCGAAATGTTTCAATTTTATATTTAATCCGAAAGTATATTGTGTAGCTAAATTAATGTTTATTTATTTTAATAATAAAAAGATCCGCGGGGATATGCTAGTAAATAAATAAAATAATTATGTAGGTCGGTCACCAACATACCTTAAATGCTATGTAAGCAAAATAAGTAATGTATTAACGAAATTTAAAACCATTGCAAAAGTTAATGGTCAAATGGCCAATGAACTTAAATAAAGAAAATGGTATGTAACAATAAAATAATCAAAATGAGTTATATATTAATGGTGTATTAGCAGTTTAGCAACGTGTGGTGTATATGTATATGAAACCCCCCGGTGGATAGGCAAAGTCTTTTAGAGTGTAGAGTCAACTGCTTTCTGTCGATATTTCGCGCTTACAGATAAAAATGTGCTGAATCTTCGCAGTGGATGGATTTTATGGTATATACGGCATTTATATGGACTTGATTTGTTGCTACTCCGGGAGGTCTCATCTGTATTTATGGATAGATCCTTCTATCATTAACTTTTTTTGGTGACCCGGCGTGATCCTGGCGCTAACTAATCCGAAGCATTTTTTGGTGACGTTATATACGAAGTGTGAGGACGTAACGCACGCATACCAATTTCAAGAAAACAGGAGGAAATTGCCTGTAACTAACATTTTTTGGTGACGTTATACACAATGTGTGAGGACGTAACGTAACGCATGCGTACCAAGAAAACAGGAGAAAATTGCCTTACCACAATGCCGTTACTCACTACTACATCAACAAACAACAATGGCAAGCCTTCAAGACCTTATTTCTCAGCAGGAAGAAAGAGGCAGTAATTTCGAAAAAAATCGCCGCTCATATAAAGAAAGCTCCGCTTGAAAGAAGAGCGGAAGAATTCTACAGGGGCAAGTATGATGAACAAAGGCTGTTATGGCAGGGTTTGGATAAGGCAGAAAACAGAATCCGTGATGATCTATCTTTGTCAGAGGATGACCCGTTCGTTGCTCGGAAACTATATACCTCAACAATAGAATATAAATAAATGGGAAATGAAGAAACTGATGTCTACCAAAAGCAAGCCAAATCCCACGACGAAATACTGCCGCAGATTGAAGATCCACCGAAAATAGGATTTAATCAAGAAATCTACGATATGCTGGAAGATTCAGTACAAGACAACTTAATAAAACTAGCTGTCCTGAAAGACAAATGCATCGCAACCATGGCCATTGCACCTCAACTGGGGTGTGACATTATAGCACACAGTGCACTTTCGCTACCGAAGGCAACAGTTGAGGGACTGTTACCTTCAACGGGGATTGTTTGAAGTGGCGGCAGTTCTATGAATTTTTCTTGGAGATGGTAGACAAACAGTCTCCCCCAAGTATTAAAAAAATGAGGTATCTCAAAACCAATTTATTTGGCGAGGCTGCCAAACTAATCAGTCATTTATCCTTGACAGAGGATAATTACTGAACGTTATAACAATAAAGGGGTTCTTTTTTCCACTCTGGTAGACCGGATATTGAGTCAACCAAATGGAATTTCATCAACGGCTTTCATCAAGGCTCTCCATGAGAATACAGGGGACTATATGCTAGCCCTCAACAATATTCATATCGACACGACGTCTTGGGATGCTTTATTGATCACAAAGAAATTGGATCATGCGCTGTACATACGATTCATGCTAACAGTGACGAATCCGGAAGCAGTTCCCACTATGAAAGAGCTGTTTGCATTTTTGGAAAAACAATTTGAGTCAATTAATCATTGGAAAAACGTTCAAGCAAAACTATTTCGTCCATAACATCAGTGGAGGATCATCCCATTAATCATTGTAAAATTTTCTTGGAAATGGCAGAAGGTTAGAAACTGAAATGGATACAGCAACATAAATTGTGTGTAAGCTTTTTGTAACGAAAACTAGTTTTTCTGGCAAAATATGTAGTAATAAGAACAATATATTGCTACATTTGCCAACAAATGTCTCAAATCAAACGTCACCAACAAAAGCCGATACCGCACCAGTCAACATTGCTGCAGTTTCTTCAGCATCAGCAGAAGATCATAAAAGTGTAATCAATGCTTCTATGTCAGTCGAATTTAGAGCGGTGTTACTCGGGTTCATCCATTTGCCTCTTTATCAATTTTCGGAGTCGGAAGGATTCAAAAGCTGTTGAACGTTTGCCATCATCAAGTAGACATACAAGTGTTGTCAAGCAATTCTGAATTTTCCACAGTTATGGCAAATTCCCATGAACATTAGATTAGCAGACCCTAATTTTAACGTTGACATTTTACTTGGAGCGGAGTTTTACTTCAGTTTAATGCAACCAGCCATAATAAAATTAAATGATCATCAACCCATACTTCAAAATACTGCGCTTGGCTGGATTGTAGCACATCAGCATCACTAACATGTGCAATTTTTAGTGAACAAGCTATTGAGAAGCTATGGATACTTGAGGAAGTGGAAACAACTGAACAGGTGATGTCTTCATTGGAAAAAACTTTGCGAATATCACTTCAATCAACATGTTAAGACGGATCAGAACGGTCGTTTCATAGTCAGTCTTCCGTTTCAAGAATCTTCAACAGCATTGGGAAAATCACATGCAATTGCTTATAACCGATTTATGATCCTTGAACGCGGACTTCTACAGAAGGAAGACATCCAAAGTCAGTACATTAAATTTATGGGAGATTATGAAAAATTAGGACACATGCAAAGGAGTGACGTGGCTACCGTATAAAATCCTAAATATTTTATTCCGCATCACTGTGTTCTTAAGCCTGATAGTACAACAACAAAACTAAGGGTTGTATTCGACGCAGCAGTGAAATACTTCATCAGGTCAATCGTTAAATGATCTAATGTACACAGGATCAATCGTGCAAAGTGAATTGTTTTCTATTTTGCTGAGTTTTCGATTGCCAAAATTCGTCCTCACAATCGAAAAGATGTACAGGCAGATTTTAATGCATCCCGACGATCAAAGGTATCAGATGATTATCTGGAGAGAGGATCTATCCCATCCAGTTAAGTATTACAAGCTTAATACGGCCGCGTATGGGACACGTTCAGCACCGTATCTGGCTACAAAATGCTTACAAAATATTGCAAACGAAAACTTGGAACGTTATCCATCGGCGGTGCTGATAGCCTAACCCAAGTGGAATTGGTAAATAATGTTGAAGCAACACGGCTTCAACTTAAGGAAATGGTCGTCCAATATACCAAGATTGCTGAAGGACAAATATTGCTAGTCTATACTAGCAAAACTGTTTGATCTTCTTGGCCTACTTGCATAGATTGCTGTAATTATTTGTTTAGAAGCTGTGGCAACTTACA